GAGGCTGCGTCCCACATACAGCAACTAGAAGGATGTGCAGCTATGACATACAACTATCTACTGGGGCTTTGGGGGAAAAAAATAAATAAATAAATTAGAGCCGTCATGGTGGGCAGTATCTTACTGTGGCTGTGATTTGCATTTCCATGATGGTTAATGATGCTGAGCATCTTGTCGTGTGCCTACTGGCTATTGGTGTGTCTTTGGAGAAATTCTATGCAAATCCTTTGCCCATTTTTAAATTGGGTTGTCTCTTTTTTTACTGAGTTTTAAGAGTTCTTATATTTTCCAACTCCAAGTCTCTTACCATATATACAATTTGCAAATATTTTTTCTGATAAAAGTGTTCCTCCCCCATTACCTTTTTAGCTTTCGTATTTCCTGTTTTTCCACATATTCTGTGGTCTGGTTAAATAAGACTTTGCTTTTCCCCAGAGATGCTCTATTTTTCACTTCTGAAAATACAATGTGTCAGTAAACATTCATTCAGCAAGTGTTCCTCGAGCCCCTCCTGTGTGCCGGGCTCCCTGAGCAGCCGGGATGCATCCGAGGACAGAGCCAAATAACCTGTCCTCTTGGAGTTTGCGTGCTGGTGCTGTGTCTTGGCCTCCTTCTCTGACTCTCAGGGTGCTGTTAAAGCTATCACGGCGTGATTCTCATCCTCCTGGAGCTCAGATATTTATAGATTGTGCTTGGCTGTTTGCTGAGTGGATGGATGAATCAGTGAGCTCAGTGCTCTCATTCATCACTGTATTCCCTGGAGGGGGTGTTTAAGAGACGCCTGTTGGCTCATTGAGGATACGTGTGGTCCCTAAGGAGACTGTAAATACAGTTTTAGGGCCATCAGAATATTTCTACACGGAAAGGGGCTGGGTTCTTGGGATGACTTCGGAGAACAGGTACCTTTTAGAGCTGTGGTCTCCATGCCTTTTTGGCCATTAAGTATTGGGGACTCCTAATACACACTGACATACACACCCCCTCCATACACATATACTCATATACACACACAGTCATACACAGATGTAAACACTCTTGTACATACATGCTCATACCCTTGCACATACACACATAAACACATACACGCATATACACACCCCCCCATATACACATATTACTCATATACACACACAGTCATACACATAGGTACACACTCATGTACATATACACTCATACACACACATACACACACACTTATACACACATATATACATACACATACCCCACATACACATACCCCTCATAACCTCTCATATACACATATACTCATACACACACATTCATACACATATACACTCATGTACATATACATTCGTACACATAAACACATGTACACACACACTCATGCACACACACGTACACTTATACATGCACATCTATACACATACATTTTTTTGTGTGTGAGGAAGCTTGGCCCTGAGCTAACATCTGTTGCCAATCCTCCTCAAACCCTCCTCTTTTTGCTTGAGGAAGACTGTCACTGAGCTAACATCTGTGCCAATCTTCCTCCACTTTATATATGAGACACTGTTGCAGCATGGCTTGATCAGTGCTGCGTAGGTCTGTGCCTGGGATCCAGACCTGCAAACCCTGGGCCGCCGAAGCGGAGTGCGCGAACGTAACCACTACACCACCAGGCCGGCCCGTACACGTACATATTTTAATGTTATATGCATGTGCTTTCCTACTGTATTATGTACATTATAATAACATAATTATGTACATTATAAGAACAATAAAATATACTGTATTGTGTACATATAATAACATGAATATAAAGTAAAAAGGAAGAGAGAAGAAATACACCTAGAATTGCTAGTATTTTCCTCCTGCACCCCGTGGATTGTTTGACCTGGGACGAGTGCCCTCACCTGGGAGCTCACTGCTCTAGAGCATATAATACTTAGTTTTTGGGTGGAGTTTTTATGAGGCCCTTAGGGTTTCCCAAATAAACATTAAGGCCTTGGTTTATTTTTTTTCTTAAGCTTTAAGGTCAGTTAAAGGCAGCTTCATTTTAAATCCTAAAATGCTGAGTGATTTCACTGATGAAAATAATCTAGTCATTAATTTTGTTTTAGAATGTAGACCAAATCTTGCACTGAAGAATTACTTTAAGAAGTAAATCATAAAAAGCGATACAACCACATTGTAGAAAATTTGGAAAATAAAGAAAAGAAATCTACAGTCTGTTGTACTTATGTATAGCAATGTTAATTGGAATAAGACCTTTTTTTCCCCTGTAGGATACCTTAACTTTATTGTTTTTTTTTATTTTGAAAAGAACTTTTTTCTCTCTGAAGTTCTAAAACTCGCTCTGTACTCAAAACCAAACGACTTTTTAACGTGATTTCTTTGTTTGTTTGCAGGTTGTTAGGCATAAAATCTTCTGTTTTTGCTGCTCTGTGAATGACACATGGTGACTCTTGTCTATAAGGAAGCTGAAGTTTTAGGCTTAATTCTTTGATTTGTGTGGTCAGGAGTCCTAGCTCTAAGCAAGCATATAGGTTTTTTGCATATTAGAATGATTGCTTTGGCCTATGAAAGCAGTATGCATTAATTCTAGAAACACTGGGACATATAGACAATTATGTGGCTAGTTTCTTTTGTTTTAACCTCTTTTCTCGACTCTAGAGAAAAGAAGGACTCTTTTTTGCACGACTTATAAATATTTCACTTCTTTTTCTTTCCCCAAGTTGAAAACTAGATTTGGCTGGTCCTAGAAATGTGGGCGTCTTTGCTGATTCACAGGCAGGTGGCTGCCTCACGGTGTGGTGATTGGTGTGAGCAGAAGGACGCGCCCCGCGATCAGCTCCACAGCGTGAATGAATGAGTGTGACCTGGCGAGATGGGATTTGGCTGGGGGACGTGGCCAGAGTCCACGTGCTGAGCCAGCACAGAGCAGAGGGAGGAGAGCTGGAGGGAGCCTGCGCTTTGTGAGCAGCAGTTTTCATTGGGCGTTCGCCTTCTCTCCTCCAGACTTGCCCACGCCCCAGGTCAGCGAGCGCAGGGACCCAGACCCCAGTCGAATGCAGATGCCACAGGGGAACCCGCTGCTGCTTTCTCACACCCTGCAGGAGCTGCTGGCCAGGGACACCGTGCAGGTGGAGCTTATTCCCGAGAAGAAGGGCCTCTTCCTGAAGCATGTGGAGTATGAGGTTTCCAGCCAGGTAATGGGCACATCGTGGGGGAAGACGGGACAGGTCTGGGGCAGGAGCGATGTGAGGGGAGAAGGGCTGGAGGGAGACAGTCAGTGTGCCCGGCTTAAAGGTAGGACCCCATACCGGGTGGCAGGGAGCCATGCTGCCCACCAGACTTTCCATAGCGTGTGTGTCCCTGTGTCATGTTCTGCTCAGCCACACCCCCAGCTCAACCCGCCATGTCCATCCCTGTGCTCTGGGACGCCACTGCCCAGGAAGCTCAGACAGGTGGTCTGCAGAGCACACACCCCGGACACAGGCCAGCCAGTTTTGCAATATCAGGAAATCCCTGAGGATTGGAATGTGGATCCCGTAGAATATGGACTCCGAATCCCTTTAATAATGCTGCCTCTCCTTCAGGGGCACCCCTCTTATCCGAGGTAATCAGATGCTAGACGCCTGGCTCCAGGGTTGGCCGTGTGCGTGTAGAGCTGTGTGGCATCAGCAGCTTTGACCTTTCTGTCCTTTCGTCCATTATCTTTCCATCTCTTGGTTCAGTTAGAATAAACTTTGATGGGAGTTTGTATTCTTTATCCTGGGGATTAAGTAATTGATGAACTAAGAACATCCTTGGGCTGTGTTTGTGGGGGATTCGTCAAGATGGAGCGGCACCCCACGCCAGCGAGAGAGCCGCCCCGGTCGCAGGCAGCATGGCCAGGGCTTTGGGTGGAAAATTCTCACAGTTGTCACCCCAGGTCAAAAGACGTGTTTTCAGAATCTAACGAGCAGTTCCCCTCACGCTGTTCACTGTGTTCTGTGAGAATCAGGTATCACAGGATGGAGTTTCATTGTGTTTTAAAGCCGCAGTGACAAAAGCCTGTGACACTTGTTGGTGCTGCTCCAGAGGTCAGCGAGGCAAGGAGCCCCTTCCTGGGATTATTTCCTCGGATTATTTCTAGGGCAGCATTGCCGTCTGGCGTCACCGTGGTTCTCGGCCTCGGCCGCAGTCAGCAGTGAGAACTAGCCGCAGTGGAGGAGGCACCAGCTCTCCTTCTGGGGCCTCATCCCGGAGGTCGGGTGGCTCCGAGCGTTTGAGAAGCTGCTGTTCTTCAAGTGCTCTGGAGCTGGCCTTTTTTTTAGTCTCATCAAACTGCTCGTTCCTTAAGTAAATTGATTGCCTCATAGTGAGCATTTTTAGAAGGAGGTAATTTTGCCCGGGTTACCTCCTGAAATGTCTGTGAAGGGGTCAGCCTGTGAATGTTTAAACAGTGGGGGAAGCCTTCTGGGCCACGTGTGTTCTCTAGATGTGCACCCTGCTCACCGTTCTTGCTGGAGTCTAGAGTAAATGCAACCGTGGCATGATGCGCAGGGTCCCGAATAGAGGTGAACACACCTGATTTCATAGTTTTTCTTCATATGGCATAATTAATGTTTTTTATAGACTGTATTTTTTTGGGTAGTTTTAGGTTCACAGCAATATTGGCCAAAGGAACAGAAATTTCCCATAATCCCCCTGCCTCCTACACTGGCACAGCCTCCCCCACTGTCAACACCCCGCACCAGGGGGGTGCATTTATTAGGATTGATGAACCCACATGGACACATCATAATCACCCAAAGCCCGTAGTCTACATTGGGGTTCACCCTTGGTGGTGTAATTTCTGTGGGTTTAGACAAATGTACAATGATGCACATCCACCATCATAGCATCATACAAAGTAGTTTCACTGCCCTGAAAATCCTCTGTGCTCTACCTGTTCATCCCTTCCTCCCCCTAACTCCTGGCAACCCCTGATCTTTTATTGTCTCCATAGTTTTGCCTTTTCCAGAATGTCATAGAGTTGGAATCACGTAGTAAGTAGCCTTCTCAGATTGGCTTCTTTCACTTAGTAATCTTAATTAGAAATTAGTATAGCACATTTAACTTTAAAGGTGGCTGCTCATGCATGTTTCTTGTGTAAGCTCTTATCTTCTAACCCGATGAGGTTGCTCTTGAATATGATGCTAACCTGGGGGAGCCTGCAGGTTTGTCACCGATCAGGTTTATGGTGGGATTTATGGGCAGTTTCATTGAGTCCAGTGTCAGTCTCCATCTTCAACATTTGTTCTGCTTGTAGACAGCTGGGTCTCTGTCAGGAGGCAGCAGAGCTATGTGTGTCAGCATTATTTGAAGGTGCACCTGGAGGACACACCCTAAGATGAAGTAAAGGATGCATCCTTGTTCTGTGCTATCTTTTAAGGCTGGGATGGATGCCCACCTTCGCAGTGGAAATCTGTGTCTGTCAGAAGATCCAGAATAATAGGTAGTTAAAAATGAAGTTAGAGCTATGCAGTGTTTAAAAGCTGTATTACCATACATTAAGGAGGTACAGGATTTCTCATTTTAGTAAAGGCCTGGTGAGAGGAGACGAGGAATTTAGTTAAATTATTTCTGTTGGTTCTGTTCAGTGGCAGAAAGAGAAGTTAAGGGGAAAGAGTGAGAGGTGATGTTTCTGATGTCAGGTCTGAGCGCTGACCCCTTTGTCTTGTAGCGCTTCCAGTCCTCTGTGTACAGACGGTACAATGACTTTGTGGTCTTCCACGAGATGCTGCTGCAGAAGTTCCCGTACCGCATGGTGCCAGCCCTGCCACCCAAGAGAATGCTGGGAGGTAAAGCTGGTTTGCTGGGGGGTGGGGGGCAGAAGGGAGTGGGCCCGCCTCCAGGGCCCTGAGGTCTTGCCTTGGTGATGGATGCCACTTTATGCTGGGGGGGTGGTCTTCCTTCTTCCTAGGGGCCCTCTGCCCCATAGAAGGGGATGGCAGCAGGGCTGCAGAGCAGTACCAGCCCCTTGGGAGTCCTGGGTCGCTGCTGTGGCTTAGAGCCCAGGTGTGGCACGTGGAGGGGGACGTCACCTCGTACCCTTGGCCTACGTGAGTCTTCTGCTTGGTGACTGACATGTGGGGAGGTGCCCCATTGTGCAGGAGAGAAAGCACGTGCCCCAGTTCTCCTTTCCAGAGGGCAGTCGCCAGGACATCCTAGAGCTCCCGGGTGGGGGACCAGGAGCACTGTTGGTTTTGCCTGCTCTCACAAAGTGATGTGAACTGAGCAGTGGGTCCCACTACAGCACTAGGTGGTCCCCCGGAAGAGAGCAGAAGTAAATGTAAGGTAGGCAATCTAATCTGCATCTTAAAGGAGATAAAAATAGCACATAAGTAGCTGCCTCATCTTCACTGCGTCACCTGCAGTTACATGGGGCCAGGTGAGAGGTCACAGGTGGCTCCAGCCCCATCTGGGCTGGCCTGTTTCTCCCAGGTTCCAGAGCACAGGGAGATGGTGGTGCCTTCTCTGGGGTCTCACCGATCCTCCCACAGTGCTTTTCTCAAATTCTAAATAAAACTCAATGAGAAGGTGAGTGCCCAAAGCTGACCAGATTATTTTCTCCCATTTTCCCAATGATCCTAAAGTAACTCTGTACTCGAATGGGGAAATAGCTTGGGATTTAATACAGTCGTCCAGTTTTCAGCATTCTGAAATCTCTTAACATTGCACATAAGTACTCTTGCTTCTCACTGGTCACTGACCAGCTCAGCATCTGATAATGTAACTTTCTTCCTGCCCCACGAGAGCACCATAGAACAAATCATTTATGTCACATTGAAGGGGGGAGGGTGCTAAGGGCAGCGAGGCCAGAAGTGCTTTGGAAGTCAGGCGAGTGCTCACTGAAATCCACACATCACAGTCCACTCAGTGTAGTTACTGTTGGGGACCTGGAAATGTGCATGTGGATGCTTAGTTGTGTGGCTCAGCATTATGAAAGCACAGCCTTCTAGAAGGGTTCCTGGTGGTCTTGAGTGGGGAGGGAACCTCATCCAACTGTACTTTTCAGTATCATAAAAAAATATTTTAAATACTATTTCTATTTGTGATCAGATTTAAATACCCTTAATGCATCAAGGTACCCTTTTACTTTTTTTTCGCCTTGAAGTGAAAATATGTAACCCAAATGAAAGCAATTAGTAATTGTATCCATTACAGAGGGAGTTATAAGTGATGTCCATAGGAACACGGGGTTGAGTTAATGTACAAGTATAGTAAAACCTATTTGTTCATAGAGAGAAGCTCCAGAAAGGGATTATAGAAGTCTTTAATTTAGATGATTGAAGTGGGGGTCAAATACGGTTAATTAAAACAAATGGGATCTGTGGTTTTCCTTGGCGGTTCCTGCACCCGAGTGTGTTTGTGGGGGGCAGGGCGAGGGTGGGGTGGGGAGCGGATGGCTCTGTCACTCCTTGTCCAGGGCCCTCGCTGGCTGTGTGGCCTGCTCTGGGCTTCTCTCCTAAGATGCTCTGAGGACTCTGGGCGTGGAGGCTGGGCCCTGAGAGTGCGGTCTCCCCTGGGAGAGGGTGGTGCCCCAGGCCCTGCTTGGTGATGCCGTGTCCTCTGTCTTCAGCTGACAGGGAGTTCATCGAGGCCCGGAGGAGAGCGCTGAAGCGCTTCATCAACCTGGTGGCCCGGCACCCCCCCTTCTCTGAGGACGTGGTCCTCAAGTTGTTCCTGTCCTTCAGTGGTCCTGTGAGTACATTAGGGACTGTGTCCATGCAGTCCGCGTGGTGGGTCCCGCCGGTCCCTGTGCTCTTTCTTCATTCTTAAGTTCGCTTTTGTTCTCTTGCTCCCCTCTTGTCTCATTTCCCTTGTCTGGGTGCCCTGACAGAATCTGTTTCACACCCGACCGCCATAAATAGGACTTATTTTCTTCCCAAATAGCAGGTTGAGTATGATTTTAGGAGGCGTCTTTGGCTTTGACCTTGCAAGATTCAGGGTATCCAGGTGGAAGTGGTGGGTTCTCGGTGCGGTCACTGTGGGATTTGAAGCGAATACACAGAAGGCTGTATGGTTTGGAGGGTTTACAGAAGTGCTAGACTCCAGATGTGAATAAGCGTTCACTTAAAAAAAAGGCCACGTTGACTAAGTGCCATAAGAACAAGCCGAGTCTCCTTAGCAGACCTGCAGGGTAGACTTGTGTCCTGGAAATTATCTCTGTGCGTACATTGATTCCAGGTAGAAAGCAGAGTGGCAGCTTCTTTCTCCAAACTTGTTCCTAGTCAGGAAGCTGAGGCAAAGCCCTTGTTCCCAGTTGAGGAGGAAGACTGCCTTGGCAGGCCTCCTGCCCCGGGGGCCTCTAGCTCTTCTGTAGGAAGAGAGGTTTTGCCCGAGGGACCTTCTCATTGAGGGGGGGTGGTGGTGGGGGGCTCCAGCAAGGACGCTCGGCCAGTGGAATATGTGTGTTCCCGTCTCCTCAGTTGGAGGAAACCCCTTCTTGAGCAGGGACCTGGGAAGGGGCTCAGCCCCCACCCTCACTGCTGCTGCATAAAGATGCTGGACTCCAGCAGCCAAGGCAGGGACAGCGCAAGCCTGCCTGCCTTATCCTCTCACTTCCTAGAGGTGGAAGGGGCCTTTTACCGCTAGGGAAGGCTGCATGCTTTCCCTCCGTGATACCCCGGGGGTACCCATCAGTGCTGCCCCTCTTATGGGAGCCATGCTAGACATTAGTGAATGCTTGCTGTGACCTTCTGCCCTTGAGCTGGGAATGGGGGTCTTTTGAACCCTGGGGGTGGACAGGTTCCCTTAGAACAGGGATCTTTATTCCAGAAGAGGAATGTGGTGGGACGTGGGAGCTGTGCACGGCTCAGGACAGAGCAAGGGGAAGTGGGGAGGGTGCAGCTGGGCGCAGAGCTGGGTGCCGTCCCCGTTCTGGAGGCCTTAGGCTCTGCTGACCCTTGCCTTTACACAGATAGGGTGTCCCCAGAACCTCTCTGATTCCATTTTCCTTTTTGGTAAAATGAGAGAATTGGGACAGATGATTGTTAAGGCATCTCTGAAATTTTAGAATTCTGTGACCCATACACAGCTGCCCATTCACATGTTAGCCTCTCTGCCTGTACTTCCTGTGGCTCTTTGTGGGGGCCTTATCTTAAGGCTTGGCTTTGCCAAGGGCCTGCTTTTGGAGAGCAGGGCTCGGGAGCCCAAGTGCTGTCCATCAGCTCCCCGGGCTCTGGGGGCCCCGGTCCCGTGAATTGATTCACAGGAAGGAAAAGACTTCAGCTTCTGTCTCTGTGCCCCACGTGGACCTAACGGATCTAATGAATCCGACTTCTGTCTGATGTCTGTGGTCTGTAGATGAGTTAGTGTTTTTCTGGAGAGAGATCTCCACTCCTGAGCTGGCGGTTTTGCAGTACTGTTAGTAAGTCAGGTTCTCCTGTCTGTGGAAGACCACCTAAAGTTGAAGGTCAATGGAAAAAAACCAGAGAGGAGACAGTGAAGAGATTTTGGAACACTTATGTAAAAGCGACATGTGGAAACACATTTCTTTTGAGAAAGGCCTGCGTCCTGCCTTTTATTGACTTCATTTGTCTCAGACTGACTTCTTTGCAGCTGATGAGGGTGAAGTTGCTTCTCTTTTCCTTTTGTAGGATGTGCAGAACAAGTTAAAGGAATCGGCACAGCTTGTGGGAGATGAATTCATGAATTGTAAGCTGGCTACTCGGGCCAAGGTATTTTTCTCATTTTGATTATGGCTTCCCTTCTTAACAAGAGCAATGATAATTTTAACAATTGATATTGTTTACGAGTTGCCTCCACCATGTGCCAGGGATCATGCTAAGATGCATTGCATGTTTTTCTCTTTTAACCCTCCTTTCAGCTGCTCTAAAATATAGTGGGTGTCATGCCCATGTCACAGGTGAGGAAACACGCTTGGAGAGGCTGCCATTTGCTGAAGTCTCAACCTTCTAAGCAGCAGAGCCCAGATGGGACTGGGCTGTCTGACCCCAGGGCCCACCAGGCTCTCGCACCATGTCCTGAGGCATCTATGATTCAGATAGACATATGCCTGGTCTCCAGCTTTTCGGATTTCACAGGATTGATTGTTGCATTGGTTTATTTTAAAATTTAGTTAATCTGGTCTTTTTCTAAAAAGGAGGAAGGTAGCTATTTGGTAGCTTTTTTTTTCTTTCTTTATCTGCTTCTCCATAAAAAATACAGACTCTTTTACCTTCATTTTATTCCTTAAGCTTTCTGTTTTCTAAGTGTTACATAGTTAATATTAGTTAATATTATTTAGTTAATATTAATAGGTAGTTAATATTAAAACTAGTAGAAAGTTATTCTTTCAGAATAAATGAAGACTACAGGAGGCCTTCCCCTCACGTGGAGAGTCAACACTTTACATTCATTGTTTTAGACTTGAAGATTATTATTTGAGTGTTTTTTGGCAGGCCCTCCAGTTTGATCCAGTTTCAGTGGACACTAGAGTCGTATGTCCCGGGATCCATAGTGTTGGTGGTGTATCCATGATTGGACAAGGAGGGAGGTCTGGTGCAGGCACTGGAGAAGAAGTGGGCTCAGGGCCGGTCTCTGCCTGGCCCGGGTTTGGGCATCGGGGCTCACTGACCTGCTCTATCGGATGGAGTTGTCTCATCTCCTGTGGGCCATCTTTTCTGAAAGGGTCTCATGTCTAGTATTACCCATTTTTTCTCTCTCCTCGCCCTGTCAGGACTTCCTCCCAGCTGACATCCAGACTCAGTTTGCCATTAGTCGGGAGCTGATTCGAAATATCTACAACAGCTTTTACAAGCTTCGCGATCGGGCTGAGCGGATTGCGTCACGGGCCATCGACAATGCTGCTGACCTTCTCATATTCGGGAAGGAATTGAGGCAGGTGACCCTGTTGGGTTCTGCAGGGGCTGGTTAGGTGGGGAGGGGGTCTTTAGACTTTGGGGATGGTTTGGAACCGAAGGTGCATTTACTTAATAACCCTCATTCTGACCTCTGGTTCACTCAAAAGGGGAAGAAGGAGGTTGGAGAAATGGGAGATCACATTTAGAAGAAAAAAGGTGGGAAATTTAGGCAGAGAAATGTGGATTCCTAAACACATGAATGCTTGCCAGTTTCTCATAGGGCGTTTTCCCTATTGTTAGGATTAGACTTAAAAAAAGATTTGTTTGACTTGGTAAAGGACACTGTGGGCTGGTCATGCCTCCTCTGCTCTGGAGGAGAGGCAAGACCTTTGGCCAGGACTGTGCCCCGCTCAGCAGCCTCCAGAACCATGCTTCTCAAATCTGCCGATGCACACATATCACCTGGGGGTCTTGAGAAGAATTGGTTGAGCATGTCTGGGGGAGGGAGGCTGAGACCCTGCCTTTCTAACAGACTCCCGGTTTCCCCGCGGACCACTCTTTGAGTGGCGAGGGTCTAGGTTGGGAGACGTGTTCAGGCAGAGGGAGGGGTCAGGTTGGACTGCCTGGTCAGCTTCCAGGTCGTGAGTGTCTCCTCTCCTGTGTTTCATTTTCTCTCAGTGCTTTAGGGTCTGACACAACCCCGCTCCCTTCCTGGGCCACTCTGAACAGTAGCACATGGGGGTTCCTTAAGCAGGCGCTGAAAGGCCTGTCTGTTGAATTTGCACTGCTCGCTGACAAGGCCGCACAGCAGGTGAGTGAGTCTGTTCTCTGCGGCACCTTTTCCAAAGAATGTTTTGTGCCTTGGCGGGCGTGAGCGTCTCCTTCTTAGGTGGACTTCAAAGTTCTGAGTCTCGAGTGAGTGGACAGCTGTTCTCGGCTCAGAACTGCATGTCCCCATCTGTTCCGGGTGGCTCCCCGTGACCCAGTTATGCTCTTAAGAGAGTTGCCAATGATAAAAACAAATTGGGTCTGTTGAGAGTTGACTTTGCTGAGGTTAGAAGATATAATCTGCCCTTGAAGATGTAATCTTGGATTTCCCAGGATATTTCTGGGTGGCCCAGATAGTTCCCGTTTTGCTGTCCCAGTATTTGGTCACTCGATAACTCATTAGAACAATGACTAAGCTCCCAGCACCCTGGGAGACTCCCTCCTTCTTTCACACTAGATACCCAGTTAACTAAGGAAGCGCTTCTGCTGTACGGGCAGCTGCTCTTTGTAGAGATCTGCAAAGACTCTTGTAGTGGTTGGAGATTAATTTGAGATACAGTGTTTCCCGTCAGACCGAAGGGTTCATCTGGTGCTTTTATGCTATAAAACTGTTACATAATTTTGAGGGTGAGAGTTTGCTGCCTAGTTTTTGGGGAAATGGTCTTTAGGCTGCTAGTAGATGTTTTTTTGTTTTTTAATAGCATTTTTTTTTTTTTGAGAGAAATTGGCCCTGAGCTAACCTCTGTTGCCAGTCTTCCTCCTTTTTTCCTTTTTTCTCCCCAAAGCCCCAGTAGATCGTTGTATGTCATAGTTGTACATCCTTCTAGTTGCTCTCTGTGGGACGCCACCTCAGTGTGGCTTGAAAAGCAGTGTGTAGGTCCATGTCCAGGATCTGAACTGGCAAACCCTGGGCCACCAAAGCGGAGCACGTGGACTTAACCACTATGCCACTGGGCCGGCCCCTAGTAGATGGTTTTAAGTAAATTAAAACAATGTAATTGTGAAACCTTGCTGCCTGTCTGAGACTTGAAGCTCATTAGCAGTAAGTCAGATCTGTGACTGTGGAATTGGGGGATTTTCAGGCTTGAGGGGGGCGCTCAGGTGCCAGGATGTCTCTAAGTGCTGAAGAGGGAACTTGATCTCGTTGCTGGTGTGGAAAGTCCTGGGGTTTCTTCCTCTGTGATTCCAGGGCCTGGGTGTTCCCTTTAGAAACTGAGTGTAGGGCGGTGTGGGCGTCTCACAATTGGCACTGGGCCTGATCCATCTCCAGGTCCCAGAGGTGCCCATGTTTCCACGGCGGGAGGACCAAGAACGTGGTGTGGGAGGTTTGGCCGGATAGAGAAGGGGGCGAGCTCGGCAGCCTGCTCTGCGCTTGGCTGGTGTCTCGTGCTGGGACCTTATTCTGGTTACTTTGGTCCCTGGGCCTGTTTCCCCGTCAATTAAAAACGAGAAGGGTGGACAGATGATTAAAAAACTCTTTTTAGCCCGTTGAACCTTTCCTCAAAGCTCAGTCTGTAAAACATAAAAGTGAAGCTATTCTGGTTGCAGGGACCTCGGCCCTTGGCCCACAAAGCTCCCTCTTCAACAGGTAGCCTCCTGGTGGGGGGGGGGGGGGGCGGGGCACGAATCCCCAGCGTTATGCAGAATACAGGATGGGAATTCCTAACGCAGTGATTTCCAGTCTTTTCTTTCTTTTTTTTTTTGTGAGGAAGATCAGCCCTGAGCTAACATCTGCCAATCCTCCTCTTTTTCCTGAGGAGCACTGGCCCTGGGCTAACATCTGGGCCTATCTTCCTCCGCGTTATATGGGACACCGCCACAGTATGGCCTGACAAACAGTGCATCAGTGTGCATCCGGGATCCGAACCTGGGCTGCCAGCAGCGGAGCGTGCGCACTTAACCGCTACGCCACGGGGCCGGCCCCCTCCAGTCTTTTCTGATTCAAACTTTGATGCCGGTTGTCTGCCTTGAAGAGGGAGAGCTGGGTCAGGCTTCTGACATGGCCAAGTTTGTTGTTTGAAGTGCCTCCCCACTCTGAGATCCTCTGATATCTCACGAATGGTGCTTTGGAATTTAACGTCTGAGAGGTGCTGTTTCTCGAATATTCCTCACCCTCCTTGGTGGTTTTCACCTTGAAGTGAAATTAATGTAGTTTTAACATGAAACTGGATCAGACAAACCACCCATCAGAATTTTCATCCAGTACAGTGAGTTCCATTTCACTCTCGCTGTGCAAGTGAAGACATCTGAGGGCTAGTTTTCCTAAGTCTGTTTTTACGAATCCTGGTTTTATTCTCCCCAGACCTGTTGGGAGACCTAGATAACTCTATCCCAGCAAGACAAGTGAGACTCAGAGTGGGCTGCTGTTCCTGTGCTGATGGGATGTGTGTGTTGGTAAAGGCACTCGTGTTGGTGGTGTAGGGTGGTGTGTGGCATCAGACCAGAAACGGGACTTGGTGGCAAATGACACGAGCAGGAAGGACCTGAGTCACCACTGATACTAGATCAGAGGAGGCACCTCCATTCTCCCATGCCCTCTGCCTAGTCAGGAGGGATCAGGGCACCTGTGGCCATCTGGTATTTTCTTTTCTGAGTTTTAAAAACCTGTAACATGCCTGTTATTTTCCTATAACCTTATTGGCTAGTATCTCAGCTGTGGGTATGGAATTGAGTTACTTGGAACCTCTGAGCTCAGTGAGCTTGAGAGTCCCAGGGTCCTGACCTGAGTTGGTACCACAGCCTGGGTGGGAGTCCCCTGCTCCCAGTCTGGTGCTTATATTCCCATCGACTCGTCCTCTTCTTTTCTTTTGCCTGCACCCTCCCTGCACCAAGTCCCATGTGCAGTTTATGGGATGAGCTTTTCCCTTTCTTTTTTTTTTTTTT